CACCGCCGCTGTTCCTGAGCGGGTGGCGGAAATTAGAATGGCCCTACCGCGGGTGCAGCTGGTGATCACTGCAGACGACTTTGGTTATTGCCCGCGGCGCGATGAGGGCATAGTGGAGGCCTTCCTGGTGGGGGCAGTGACCAGTGTGTCTTTGCTGGTCAATGGCACTGCAGCGGAGAGCGCGGCCGAACTGGCCCGCAGGTGAGGGGAACGGGCGGGACGCGGCGGGATCCCGGGGCGCCCAGTCCGCAGCCGCCTGATCTGTCGCTCTGCTCGCAGGCATAGTATCCCCACAGGCCTCCACGCCAACCTGTCCGAGGGACGCCCAGTGGGCCCGGCACGCCACGGAGCCTCGTCGCTGCTCGGCCCCGAAGGTTTCTTTCTTGGCAAAATGGGATTCCGGAAGGCGCTGGCGTCAGGAGACGTGGCGTTGCCTCAGGTGCGGTCAGGACACAGCTGTAGGGATGCCTGGGGAAGCCGTTAGGGGATGGAGCGAGCGTTACGTCATTCACATGCCAGAGGAGGCACACGCTGGGGGCGCCTCTCGGGAACTTCCTCTTAGAAGCTCAAGGGATCCATAATCCTCCCTTTTCTACAGGTGCGGGAGGAGCTGGAGGCCCAGTTGAGCCGATTTCGGGAGTTGCTGGGCAGGGACCCTACGCATGTGGACGGGCACCAGCACGTGCACGTGCTACCAGGTGGGGGATAAGTCAAGGTGGGGATGCATCCAGGAAAGTAGGGCATGCTCCCAGAAGGGGACATGCTTCCCTGGTGGCGCCTGTGTCCAAATGGGGGATACGCCCAGGAGTGCTCCTCCCAGGGAGACTCGCCGTCTGGACACCTCTCTGCCCGCAGGTGTGTGCCAGGTGTTTGCCGAGGCTCTGCAGGCCTTCGGGGTGCGTTTCACTCGGTTACCGCTGGAGCGTGGTGTGGGCGACTGCACCTGGCTCGAGGCCCCAACGCGGGCCTTTGCCTGTGCTGTGGGACGCGACGCCCGGGCCGCTATGGACCCCTTTTCCCGCCACGGCCTGCGGTGAGGCTCCCTGTTCCTATCCTGTCCTAGCCTCGCCCAATGCGTCCCTGCCAGCCCATCGGCTGATCCCACCTTCCACCCCTGTACCCACAGGTGGACCGATGCCTTCCTGGGCCTGAGCACATGTGGCCGCCATATGTCTGCCCACCGTGTTTCTGGAGCGCTGGCACGGGCTTTGGAAAACGCCCCAGCAGGTCATGCCCTGACAGCCGAGCTGATGGCACACCCGGGCTACCCCAGTGTACCCCCAACTGGGGGCTGCGGTGAGGGTCCTGACGCCTTCTCCTGCTCCTGGGAGCGGCTGCACGAGCTGCAAGTCCTCATGGCACCTGCATTGCGCACCCAGCTGGCTCAGGATGGCGTGCAGCTCTGCGCCCTAGACGTCTTGGACACCAAGAGGCTAGAGGAAAGGATTTTGGGTGAGGCCACTGTGGAGCCCTCCCTGAACCCTTCCCTACCTTGACTCTGATGGAGTCACTAATATTCCTTAGTATGAGAAAGCCTGTCAGAGTGGAGTCACCACAGCCAAGAACCAGGGCCTAGATCTGTGATTTGAGAATCACTTTCTGAGCCCAGCGCTGCCTCCTCAGTGACGTCCAGAGCTTGTGCAGCCCTTTCTGCCCATAGGATGGCCAGCCTGTAACATCTGGGTGGTGCCCTTTTGTGATGGCTATATTTGTCTTTATTGTCTAGGGACTGCGGGTAGAGGTCACCACATTAATAAAATACAGAATTTGTCATCTGATGGGGATTTATAAACCATGCCAGGCAACCCTCACCAAAACCAGACTAGTCAATATCCCAGAGAAGACATCCAAAAGATCCCTACATTCTTTTGTTCACTTGTCTCCTTTTTAAATTTTGGGGTGGGAGAAAATCATCTCATCATGCTGCTTTTGAGGAGGCATATCATATACTCCAAACTGTGATTTGAAAAACAAGACACATGTTCTGTACTTGTTGTTAGTAGATTCTGACCTGTAGCAACCAGTGTATTACAGTCTTTTTTTAAAAAAACTTAATGTAAGTTGGGGTGAAGGCTTAAAAAGTTCATACCCATTTTGTTCTCATGATTGATGTTACCATCCCCACAATGTTTAACAGCCTTCACCTCAATTTTTCCGTTTCCTATTCTAACCCTTCCAGGCTTCTGAACTTTATCCTTGGGCAAATGCTGCCTTTTTAATCTTAAATGACTGATTTTTCTAAAGAGTGCAGACTTCTCAAGTGTTTATCACCTTATAGGATTGTTTGGCTGACATTTGAGTCAAGAGGGTGAGTTCAGTTCCAGGCCTGATGGGTGACTAAGGGCTATAGTCTTGGTGGTGCACCACTCTATCTGTTCCACATTTTCTCCCACTCTATCTAGAATCTTTCAGAGTAGTCAGCAGTGCTATTCGCTGTAATCTTAATGGAAGCAGATCATCAGGTCTCTTCTGAGTTGCCCAAGTGCCAACCTTTGGGTTTGGACAAACCACTGGTATCACCTAGGGGAACTTTAAGGAGCTGTGGTTATGAGTTGGGCTGTTAATCTCAAGGTCAGCAGTTTAAAACTTAGCGGTTCTACAACAGACATATGAGGTTTTCTGCTCCTGTAAAGACTTACAGAAACCCTACGCAGGGTCACTATATGAGTCGGAACTGACTCCATGGCACATCAGGGGAACTTTGATCCCTGGAGTGCATTTACATTTCCCAGGAGAGGGGAGTCTTCTGTGGACATGGGCTCTGGGATCCCAGAGGGTCCTGGGTATGTGTGTTGACCTGGTGCCTCAGTATAGATCTAGATTCTGATCCTGAGAGAACAGATGGTTGTTGCAGAGGATAGAAAGGCAGATGGGAGACTACATGGTCCTGTGGCCTTGTCTCACTTCATTCTCATATTTATAACTAGTGAGACAGGCACCATTGTGCCCATTTTACAGAAGGCAGAGTAGAGACTTGACCTACTTACGATCTCATTTGGGCTAGGCACTTATCAAGGGAGTGAATGAATTCCCAAAGGGGTAACAAGGTGTGTGTGTGGGTGTACCCTCCATCCCTTTCCTTGACTGAATGTAGGCCCACTCTCCATCCTAATTTTTCTGTGACTTGACTTCTCTAGCTAGGGGGCCCAGGCTCAGGCTGCTGGGAATTGGAACCACTGTAAGGTTGGTCCCTCCTGCTGCCTACCCCTCACCTCAGCCCACTGTGGCCTGGCTCCTCTTGTAGGCAACTGGCTGGGACTGGGATGAGGGGTAGCCAGGTGGCAGGATGCTGGCAGAAGCACTTTCCTGAGGGAGGAGGAGGGGCTGAGCTCTGCCTTGTAGGAGTTCTGAGGAGGAAGCAGCAAGCTATGCACTGTTTGGGTAGGCAGGAGAGAGATTTGGAGCCTACAGCTGCCAAATGAATGAGGGTGGTTACAGTCCCCCAGGGGAGGGGAACTGAGCTGAGTGCCTGGAACTAGACTTCATGGCCAGAGTGTTATAAGAGAAAAGAGGTAGGAGGATCCAGCAACAGAAGTCCAGCTCAATGTGTGGGTGGGAAGTGGCAAGGGAGTGACTGTCATCCATTCTTGATGTGATACAGCTTGGCCTGCAAGGAGCTCATGCAGAGACACACAAGAACAAGCGATGTGATCTTAAGGGCCATAGCACAGCAGGAGAGCTGTGACAGGTTGGGGGCCAAAATCTTGCCATGGCTACTATTGGGGGCTGGGCCAGAGTTATTTTCACTCTGAGACCTCTGAAGCGGGTACAAGGCTCCTGAGGGGTCTGAGCAGCTTGTGGGACAACTTGCTGGTCACTTGGGACACAGGCCCCATGCTGAATGCTGCCTGGGGAAGGGGCTACACTAAGAGCCATGCCTCTTGACTTTCGTGCATTGCATGAGTACAGTCAAGAGCCAGTCGAACATGGGGGGCCGGTGGGGAGAATGGAGCAGGCCAGCTGAATTGTGGCATGTAGGCACTGCAAGATGGAGCCAGTGGTAACAGGGCAGGCAGAGGGACAGGCTGCCCACCTGGGGACCCCTGGCCAGGTGGCAGAAGGCACCAGTCAGAGGGATGAAGAAGATGCCTATGTGGCTCTGGGCCACAAGGTCAGTTTGAGCTGCAAAGTTGGCGATTCAAACCCACAAGGCACTCGTCGGAAACCCTAAACAGGGTTGCTATGAGTCAGAACCGATTCTGTGGCATGTAACAGCAACCATTTAGAGGAGTCCTGGTGTGGTGCTGCAGGGCCAGCACTGAACTGTGAACCACAAGGTTGGCAGTTCAAACCCACCAGCGGCTCCTTGGAAACCTTATACAGGGTTGCTATGAGCCAGAACCAACTTAACAGCATTTAATAACAGCAGGCATGACTTCTAACCACAAGTCCAAACGTATCAAGTATCAACTGCTTCTCGGAAACCCTATACAGGATCACTGAGTAAATGACACTTAAACATATCTGGGCTCAAGGAGCCTTACTGGAAGAAACTATCCAAAGCCACTCTGAGCACATGGCTTGCTCTGTGGTAAGTACACAGCTCACTGGCCCTCCAAGGCAAAACCTCTGCTACCTGGTTATGTATGATAGCCCTGGCTCTCACAATGTAGACTGGGTCTGTCTGGTGTCGAATTTCTGGCCCAGGGTTGATGTGGCATCCCACCTCCAGCACACCTTTCTGGGGGGCCATGCTTCTTCCTCTGCTTAGTGTTCATCGGTCACACTCTTGGGGTTGACAGAGCTGATGTGCTGACATGTGGAAGGTACTGTTTCTGTACACCAGAAGCCAGAACAGGTAGAGGGGCAGGCAGAGGTTCCAGGCCCTAGACCATAGCCTCCAACCCATGAGCCCTCCAGGACACAGGTGCTGCCTACCCCTCCCTGCCCCCCAACCCCGGGAGAGATGAAAACCCACACGTCTAACGATTTTTATTGGGGGTCAAACAGGGTTGCAGAAAGCCTAACCTCTGTCCCTGGAGGTAGGGGGGAGCCCTTGGAGGAATCATGAGTGGGCCCTGCAGGAGGCTTCCCTTCTCCTGAGGATCTGTGTTTTGGAGGAGCTCTGGTAGCATGGTAGTTATGAGTTGGGCTTCTTAACTCTTGATCGCAGTTCGCAACTACCAACTGTTCCAGCCCTGGAAACCCCTGGCACACCACTAGGTTTAGTCTTCCTCCAGCCTGCCCAGGTTTGCTCCATTTGCAAAAGGGAGTTCTGGCCACAGGAGGGGCTGCCTACTGACCTGCCATTAGAGAGCCAGGCCTCTACTTCTGGGGCAAATGATATGGATTCCAGGGTGGGGATACACAGAGAGGCCCTTTGTAATGACCAGAAAGAAGTGACATTGGGATAGGCAAGCCAGGGATACAGCTGCATCAGTATGAAGCACTTTGCTTAGGACTTTTCCAAAATTGGCAGTTTCTGAATTTCTAAAGGAAGCAATGAGAACAAATGGTGTCTTGTCTGGACTGCTTGTGACAGGTTTTGGCAATTTGATTACAAATCTGTGTGAGGGAGATGAAGTACATTTTCACCTTCCTGTGCTAGATAGATGTGGAAGGCTGGCTAGAGTTGAGCACACAAGAGCCCTAGAAACCTGCCCCTCATGTACCGAGAACTTCAGGAGCCAGGTTCATTTATGTTCCGTGGAGGCATGAACTCAGACAATGAAACACTGCATGCTGCTTCTGTACTTACCATCACTGCTCACCTTGGCCCAGGAAAAACCGGTAGACTCACAGGCTGTTAAGTCCTAAGACCATCTCTAGCTAGAGCACCAGGATTCAAACACAGCAAAGTTCCTTGTCGCCATCTTTCCCCATTAAGACTTCAGTCCCCAAGTAGCCAAGAGGGCAGCAACTGGTGGCTGACGCAGTGACATCACACATCTGGACCACCAGCTTCCTCTGGCTGTCAAGTATGATGGGCATTCTTGGTACCACTCACTGGCTTTCCAAAGACACCAACATTCAAATCCTTACAAGTTCGGCTGATGGTAAAGTCTAAGGTCAATTTTTATTTCTACAAAAAAAGGGCAGTCAAACAATATAAAACACATTGAAAGGACATCACTGAGTGAGCTTCAAGTGGAGGGTGGCTTTCTGCAAAGGCCGTGAGTCCAAAGGGGGAGAGGGAAGGTCATCTTGTTCCTGGGCTGGCTGGTTCCTAAGAGGTCAGCAGGCACGACACCAACTCCAGACCAATGCCATCTAAAGCCGGGTCCTGACAGTTCCGAGCCCACAAAGGACCGAGATGTATCATGTGGGTGTGGGAATGAGGGGCTGTGGTGGGGCTGCTGCTCAGAAGAGGTGGAGCACAAGCTCCATGGTGCATTCAGACGGAGCTTGGTGACAGATGCGCACGGGGTCTCAAGTGGATGTTCTGGCTTTAGCTTCATCGGCAACGACCAGCTGATCTTCCAGTAAGGGCTGAGGTGAGAGCTGACTTTGGGCCTGAGAGCCTTCCTGGTCAGATCAGGGTCTTCCAGCTGTTGGG